TATGGCTAACAACCACCTGGGCTGTGGGGCTGAGGAGGTGCTTGATGGATAAAGCACCTACAGTGCGTGAGGACCTGAATCCAGATCCCCAGCACTCATGAAAAAACCCACGTATGATGGTACGTACCTGCAGTCCCAGAACCAGGAAGCAGAGACAGGAGACTCCTGGGGGTTTACTGGTAAGGCATTCTCCCCAATCAGTGGGCTCCAGGTTCAGTGAGAGAGCCTATCCCAAAAGAATAAATGGAGAGTGACAAAGGAAGATGCTTGATGTTGATCTCTGCCTCCACAGGCACACACACACACACACACACACACACACACACACAGACACAAAAACAAAAACAAGGCAGATGGCTCCTGAGAAAGAACACTCATGGTTGTCGTCTGGCCTTCACCAGTGCACCACACACCACACACACACACACACCACACACACACAAAAACCTGTCCTCTGCATTCAGACAGTCCAGGTTCCAATCCTGTCTTTTACTTACAGCATGTGACCTCATGGCAAGTTTCTTTATGCATGAAAATCTTTTAAAGAGCAGGGGAGGAGACTAAGCCTCCTCATGCAAAAGTGAAATAATAATAAATGATTGCTGACAGATTAGAGAAGATGAACACAAAGTGCTTAGCTCAGTATTTGGCACATAGTGTGAGCTCAACAGACAATAGCTTTTAGGAAGGCGCATCTACAGTGTATTCCTGTTGAAGGAAATGATACTGCCTACCTTGCAGAACTGTTAGAAAGACAAGAAGAAAACCAGAAGGATAGAAGGCTAAGACATTGTACTTTGTCAATACAGACTACTGTGCCTAATAGTTCCCAGATTTGAGTGGCTTTGGAGTTATTTCTGGAACATGTCTGAATCTAATGTGTGCACATAGGGAGGCAGGGGAGGCATCTCTGTCCCATGTAGTCACCAGGGAACTCAGGCTCTGCTCATTTGCCATCCTGGAAGTCCACCACTGTATCTTCTGAATCTCACCTAGTGGCCAAGGAAGAGTTACAGCATTGGGCAGAGGTTTTATGGCTAGGACTTGAAGGCAACATGTGTTATTTCTCTTCATTTAACAGTGGTATGAACTTGTTCACATGAGCATGCTGAAGGAAAGCTCGGAAATGCTTTATCTGATGGTTAACTCCCTAGTCTGCCATGGTGTTCAGTAAATGGAGTGATGTCATACCACCGTGATTTCCATGCTACCCTAAGCTCCCCCTGGAGAGATGGGCATCCCCTGTTCTAAGCTTGAGAGAAGGGCCATTTATTACCTCACCCCCAGTATGACATAAGTACCTTCTTTCTTTGAGTCATCCTTGACCACAACGACAGGACTGATGATCTCACAGGGAGCAGCCAGACATCACCTCTCTTAAGAAAGCCATAGGAATAGAATTCCACCATTAGTGTAGAATTAAATATTCATTAGGCTACTTTTTCTTCCTCTGTTGTGAAACAGATTATCCCAAAAGTCAATAACTTAATACACAGCACTCACTTTAATATTCTCTCTCATAGTTTCTGTGGGTCAGGAAATATATTGTGGTTCAGCCTGGCTGGATCTGGCTCACACTTTCTCATATGTTGTAGCTGGTGGTGACTAGGCTGAAATCTCACAGGAATTTGCAGTTGTTGTGCTGGCTCTGGGCTGAAAGAATCTGACAGCCAGGATAGGGGCAGTTGGGGAACATCTCCCTCCCTCCTCCATCCCTGTTCTCTGTCTTGGTCTTTCCAGTGAGAGAGTTCAGCCTTTTGCTTTTCTTACATAGCAGTTCAAGTCTCCAATATAGGGAGGGAGGGAGGGAGGGAGGGAGGGAGGGAGGGAGAGAGAGAAAAGGAAAAAGAAAGGAAAGGAGGAGGGAGGGAGCAGAGAGAGAAACTAGGAAGTCACTTATTGTACTCTCTAGCCTCAGATTTCACAGCATCTTTTCTATCACAATCCTTTGTGTCCAGCAGCCTCAAGTGCTGGTTCAAGTTCAAGGGCAATGAGCCCAGACTCCATCATGACTCCTGATAGCAAGTGTGTCCAAGAAGAGATAGCAACCATATTTTAAAGCTACTACATCCCCTTTTCATCCATCTACTATAGATGCTGCCACCCTACTGTCTGCTAGGCCAACACATGCTGATTGCCTCAGAAGGCAAAGCTGAAGTCTGAGAAATCTTAGAAGAACCCAGGCTAGGGTGATGGATACCAAGGGTCAGATGGGCAGCTTCTTGGGTCAGTTTAGTTAGCGCCCATGTTCAGCCAAGCCTGTTTGAAGCCCAGGCTTTGTGTCCTCACCATGCTGTGGTCTGCAGATAGAAGAGGTTACATGAAGCACGGAGGCTCAGAGAATTTTAAGTGAGTCACTCACACTCATACAGCCTGGCCTGTGGGTAGTGGATGGGACAGGAATTTGAATCTGAACTTACCTCCTCTCAAACCCATGTGCTCTTCTGCTTCCATCTCACTCTGTGTTTGGGGAGTGCAGATGGAAGCCAGCAGCAGCTCAGGTAAAGGGGCAAGGCCTTTCCTCTGCCCCCTGCATTACTTACACAGATAACATGGAGGTAGTGTCATGGTAATGCTGAGGAAGCAGGAGAGGAAGCAGGAGGTATCTCTTTTGGCGCCATCACTCTATTGATGAGCCACAAAAATCCAGCTCTCATTCTACCTCTAAGAAGACAGTGTGGCAACCTGGCAACCAGGAGTCTCTGTGGAGACTCATTCATGTATGCAATGCTTGGGCAATGGGGCCACTGGTTTCTTTTGGTGAACTGAAATTCCACAGTACATGTAAGGGGATATACTTCAACTAGTTAGTGTAATCACAGGGCTAAGACTACGTATTTAATAGTTGGATAAGCACTGTGAGTGGCTTATTATTTAACCCTCAGAAAAGCTCTTGGGGTCATGGTTGTCCTGGTCCTCAGACATAAGGCCACCCTAAGTGGTTAGGCAAAGGATTCAAACTCAGGACTATGCCCGGGAGCCTCCAGAGTACACCCCCAGTCTGCAGCATCTCAGCAGCACGCACTGTACCCTTTCACATAATATTAATTGAAAATATCAGTGCTGCAGCCATCAGCACGAGCTGCTGCAATCCTACGCTGTGTCCCGGTGATTAAACCCTCAGCTGCATTGTCATATTTGCAGTTGTCAAGGTCCCCAGACATCCATCCCAATCCCAAGGGGAGTGGGAAAGAGCACTGGTGATGCTTGGGAGGTTTCAGAATCGTGGATGTCCCTGTGTCTGAACCTGGCATCCCAGTCCTGCTGGATTCCCTGTGTACCTTGGGCCCTTCACCAACACCCGGCATGGTTAGAGAAGGTGAAAGGCTGTGTCCATTACAAACTAGCTAAGAAATAGCTTGGATGACAGGTCTAACGGGGAAATCTGGACCAAGAAAGGTGGAGCCCAGGTGAGGTTATTTAAGGGCATGCTTGATTGCTCTGTCACTCGTTTCTCATGTCGGGAGAGTAATCCCTCTTTGCACAAAGTGCAAAACTCAGAAAACTGCTTCCCTGTTCCTATAATGCAAGTGTATAACCCACAAATCTTCCTAGAAAAATGACTCTTGGTATAGCCAGGTAGCCTAATGTGTTGCTTTGGTTATCAATTGATCACACATATGGCAGTGGTCCCCTAAGATTGCACCACCCTGTGACATTATACTCATTAAATCTGTGTGAGTGTGCTCTGATATTTGCAGCATTATGAAAACACACAACAACACATTTTTCCAAAGCAGATCCTCAATTAAGTGGTGTGTGATAGTACATGAATGTTCTGGAGAAAAGCAAAGCCAATTTACAGACACCTTGTAGAAACTCCAAGGGCCCAAACCTTGAGAACTTTCTCACCAGGAAGGCACAATATACAGGGATCCATTGTTAAGTACCCAGTATTAAGAATTGTAACATATTATTCATGGTCCCTTTTTACATCCAGGAGTCTTAGATGATTTGGGCTAACATAGAGCATTTATCCAGTTGTAGTCAATTTTCCTTTAACTTTGGTCTCTACCACCCATGGTGCCTCCTCCCCCTTGACTCCAGCAAGGCCATGCTAAGCTTTCAGCCCCTTCCATGACACATTCTTCTCTTTGGGGCCATTTTCGGGAACCTAAGTTTACAAGTTGAGACAGGAGTTATCCATGCAAACGTGTTCTCCTAATATATAGCAGTTGCTTTTACTACATGCTCAGCACAGGTTCAATTGTGTTAAACTCAGGGAATTTACAAACTAGCAAGAAAATAGACAAGTTTTGTTTTGTCTTTTAAACAAGGTTGTATTGTCTATTGATATCTAGCTATGTACCAATTCTTTCGGTTCCAGGTAATAGAAAATTGAATTCTAAGTGGTTTAAACCACAATATAAAAGGAGATGGGATAGATTGGCGCACAAAATGCCAAAATGCAGAGCTATCTGGCTTCAGGCAAGAGCAGATCCACATGCTCGTGGGGTAGCAAAAAGAATGTCTCTCTTCATCTTCTGGGTCTGGAACGCTTTCTTTTAGTGGTGGCAAGATGGCTTCTGGCAACCCTCAGGTTTATCCATCCCATGATAGAGAGTTATTGTATGAATCATGTATGCATTCCTGAAACAGCTGTGGTAGCCAAAAGGATTAAAGGTGCTTAAAAGCCTGGCCTGGGTCAAGGGCTCATCCTTGGAACCACTGGAATTGGGAGGAGGCCTCAGCTCTACTTGCGTAATGTGATCTGAAAATTGGGAGATTCTGGGGACATTGAAAGATATGTGTGCTACTTGAAGAAGACCACGGAAGGCAGGCAGTTAAGTATAACTGGACTCTGCTACATACATAATGAATTATTTCATACAATTTCCTTAAGGTTAGTTGGGCATGCTCAAAGGATATCATTAATCACTGGAATTGCCTTCCCCCTGACAGGCAGCATAACCCCCCCACCCCAGTCTAAGCCAGTCTGGGTTGAATAGATTGTAAGTGTAACCTGCAAAAACTTGACCTGAATTTGCTCTCCATTGCAGTGACCTGGACAGAAATAACATCACCAGGATCACCAAGATGGACTTTGCTGGGCTCAAGAATCTTCGAGTCTTGTAAGTAACAGATAGTGCACCCAAGTGATTTCATTTTCAGCCCTTCAGCCTGTGAAAATGTTGCACTACCCTGACATCACACTCCTAAGCCCTGGTCCACAGGAATTCACCATTCTACCACAGAAAGCTCTTCATTACTGTACCAGGTGCTCAGATAACATGGTATATGGCTGGATGCTGTTGGCTGGGTGAGATCCATAGAAGAGCCTTGTTCCAATGACAAGGAAAATAGAAGGCAGTAAATGAATACGTCAACATGTCCAGATCCTGGATGACAGCAATGTCAGGTTGACTAACCGTGCTCCCCTTTCATAGACATTATAATTTCTTCCCCAGTCTATGCATTAAAAGAACGATCAGGACAAATGTTATTTATCTTGTTGCTAAATGGGAGGGGAGGAGGGATGGAGACGGCCAGGCAGGGTCAGAGTCCCTGCTGAACACACAGCTGTGTGGGCAGGTAGCACGATTTGAGATGGGCATTGATGGAATGGGAGAACAGAAATAGCAGCTTGCTTTTCTAAATATTGAAGAATTCTGTCCATCTATGGGTTTGTGTTTGGTAAGAAGCTTCCCAAATACTGTTCACTGAAAAGTAAAATGGTGGAGCAGTTGGATTCTCTTTCCTTCTCTACTCAGTGGTTGATTTTGACCCTTAGTGATTCCAGAACATGGCCTAGGAAGTTTGACCCCTGCCTTAGTGTCATTCATGTCCTGGAACCTTGGCTGGCTCATCTCAACTGGCAGTAACAGTTAACTCATCGGTACCTGAATCCACTTCCCTCTTGACTCATAGCCCTATAGAAGAGTGTGATTTTGCCCTTGGGACAGGATTAGATTTTGATTTGGCTTAGGGTTAACGGCCTGTGTAAGTCTGGTACCATCCCTGTGCCTCTTTGGGCTTCAGTTTTCTCATCAGCAGTGCAGGGAGTGCATAGTTTAAAGACTTTCCAGCTCTTCTGGAGCTTTTATGACATTGCTCTTGGTTGAGAAGTGTCAGTAATACTGATATTGATGGCAGCCAACGTTTACTTGGTATTTGCCACGGACCGAGTGCACTGCCATGCAACGGAACATCTGAAATTGGCATCGTTTCCTCCTTGCAGCAGAGGAGCAGAGCACTGAGTTAAAAACTCCCAGCTCCACATAGTAAGTGACTGAGGAGTTGAAATTAGAACTAGGTGGTGTGCTTTCTAATCTGCGCGGAGTACTACTGTGCCCATGCATTCTAGAAAGTTTGCAATGAATTCAGATGCAGTGTGCCCATTGTGAAGTGCAATAGGGGCCGGGGGTGTGGCCCAGAGGTAGAGTGCATGCTTAGCATGCATAAGGTCTTGGGTTTGATCATCAACGTGAGGAGGAAGAGAAGAAGGAAGAGAGAAAGGGGGTAAGGAAACACAGCACTGATATGTAGGTGCTACCTGGGTTTCCCTGGGTGCCAGTACACATGGATGCAGAGATCTGACTGCTGAGCCTCCCCACCAACATGGTCTCGCATCTTTGGCATTGAAGACTCTTCTCACATCATCTTTAAAGGGAAGACCTGCCCTGTGTTTTAAGTCTTCTTTTGGCCCAAGTAGCTATGTGCATGTCAAGTGACTGGCAGCTCTGACAAGCTCTGTGCCCATCTGAATGGAAGCTGGAATGAGCGAGGCTAGGGGAATCCCAGGGTTCAGTTGTGGGATGATTGGTGTTCAATAGATATAGGCAGGAAGCTCCTGTTTCCAGGTAATTTGCCTGTTTAAAAAGCACACATTTGTGCTTTCTCTTTTTTTCCCATTTCTTCCCTCTGAATCTGTATGTCTCTTCATACAAGTCAGAAATTCACCTAATGCTTCATTTTCTATCTGAGTCAAAAATAACCCTTTAATTTTCTTACTGCTGCATCAGAAAGACATAGAAGTTCCAATTTCCATATCTGCTCTCTGCAAATAGAAAATTTTAAAATAATCACAAAAGATCTTATTAATGTCTTCTGGATAGTCTACAACATTCTTTTGACTACAGTTTATCTTTTCAGTTAATTGGTACATTCTTCTTATTTTGATAAGCTATGCCAAGAAGCCTTTTACCCCTTCTTTATAGACGCTATTAATATACGCTGTTTTGTTATCTTCCTTATCAGCTCAAAGACAATCCCATTCAAGTGGCCCTTTATTACCGTGAAAGAATCTGCTAGGTGGAATAGCTGAGATGCTTTCTAACACCAATAAAATATCCAAACATTTTAAGCCTGTTTCTCCTCCATCTATTCTTCTTAGCTGAGTAACCTAGACGACTATCTTTTATTTTGAAAAGCTTTCATCACATCCTGGCATATTCTCCCTATCTGTTTCTTATTTACAATTTATAGTGAAACCAGAAAAGCCTCAATAGTCTTGAGTAAGTTGGGCCTGCCACCTATCTCCATGCAGAGTTACTAATTTGGTGCAGGTGAATGGATAAACCCAGGGCAGAGACCAGTGAACTTCCATCTCTTCCCAGGGCAATTTTCCCTATATTCAAGGAAGAGATTTAAGTGTTTACCACGACAGTCATCTCCCCCACAGGATGGGAACAGGCAAAGGTCTCTTCTGGTGGTATCAATTATTCCCTCTTTCTTAGTAATCCATTTAAGGACTTGCTGTGCTCACAATGTGGAAACCAGCTTTTTCCCAAATGGGGTTAATAAAAGAGTTAAACTCCGCCTCAGCCATCATCACATGAGGGCCGTTTCTGATTCTGATCCAGTGCTAAAACTAAAAAAAAAAAAAAAGTAAAAATGCCAAAGAACAGAAAATGAACACAGTTCCTAACTCGGAACAGACTCCTAGCCATGGGTAACACTTCTGGGAGCCCAGCCCTGCCTGGACCCCTTGTCTGCCTGCATGTGACCAGTAAATGAGGCTATGTCAGTGGTTCTCACCCATTCTCTCATCTTGTGGGAAGTCTCAATCCAAGTTTCCTGGCTTACTCTTCCATCGATAATTTTATTTAACAAATGGTAATTATTGAACCTTTAAGTGCCAGGTACGAGGCTGGACTCTGATAGGTGTAGGAAGTGGATCTGAAAAGGTCCCTGGATATCTCTCTAGCAGGAATGAGATGACAATGAAGAGGGCGAATGAGGAGAGCTAACTAAATAAGGCCTCGTTTACAGAGGTGTGGGCAGGGACTAGAGAACTCAGGGAGAGATGGTACAGTTCCTCAGGCTAGTGGCAACAAGAGCTATGACTGCCCAAGGGGCCTTGAGGAGCAGTGGGAGGACTTGGTTCTCAGAGCCCAACAAAGGCAGGAACAGCCTGACAGCAGCTGCAGTCTTAAATAGAGGGACATGAAGTGATTAAGCCAGGAGGGAGAGGCCAAATCCCCCAAACTCACTATCTTTCCACTGTCTCTCCTGTTGCTGGTAACATGTGGTGGCTGAAACCACCCAGAAGCAGAGGTCTAAGATCTTTGAAAAAGTCAATGCAGGTCAGCCTCCCAGGGCCTGCGCAGGGTAGAGAACAGACAGATATCCTGCATGCATGTGTTTGCACTTCTCTGCTTTCTGACAAAAACTAGTGGTGGTAGACTAATGAATACAGAATGAAGATGCATTATAGGAGGCCAGGTTGAGGCTCTTTCAGCACCCAGAAGCAGTGTGACAGTCATCCTTGAGTTAGTCCTTGTTCTGATTGGGAAATAATGACAAGCGCTGATTGATTGATTGATGATTGATTGGTTGATTGATTGATTGCTTATAAAAACTTGGCTGAGCAAAGCCCTAGTCTCTACCATTGAACTGACATGACACCCTGTTTAGCAAGATGTTCTAGTTTAAATCTGTTAGTCTTCCAAGGCCTCCTGTCATATGGCAGAATGGAGAAGGTGAACAAAGGGGCAGAGCAGTTATCAGATTTCAAATTGTTACTTTAAATCGTGGGCTTTGTGGTTTATTTTCTCCATTTTTATTCTCATAAATGTATCATATTCCATATTTTACAAATGGTGAAACTGAGTCTTAGAAAGGATGATTAGCTACCTCAATCTAATACTAACAGCTGGTAAAAAGTAGGGCAGAGATCTTAAAATATATTGGGGGTTAGAAGGGCCCTTCTAGAGAGCTTTATGGTAGCCCTTGGGCAAGTTTGTTAGCTTCTCTGTTCATATCTGTTAGTAAGAGGCCTGGGAGGGGCTGGCCTGCAAGGGCCAGAAATGTCATAAATGGGAGGGCTGGGAAGATGAGGATTATAACCAGCAGGGTTATATAGTTCGGGCCAGTTGATATTTGATAACATAAGTGTGTTTGCTGTTGAGTCTAACAAATATCCCTCCATGCCCTGATAGAACTTTCTGTCCTTGACTAGCCTTTTCCTTTATGTAAAATCAATATGTGTTAGGTCCAGAATTGTCTTCAAATTTCCCTTCATTCAGTAGGCTGCTGTGCTAGGCCACTGTTCTAAGGCTGGGAATATGATGAAGAATAGGCCTGCCTCTTTCCTCCTTAGGCAGAGTGGGGAAAGTGGGCTGGGAAATGAATAACAAAAGCTAAGCATTAAACCTAAAGCGTTCTGGAGCCTAGGGCATCCTAAGAGGTGAGGCCATCATGGAAGATTCATCTTGGAGTGAACAGGTACCGTTCCCAAGGCCACATATTTTTTTCTCCTGCCATTGCAGAGGAACCCATGGTCTCTCCTAAATTCTTCCCTCTCCCAAGAAACATCCTTGAGTCACAAATGCATGTCCTTCCAAATCCCATGCAGCCACCTAATGCAGCCCCTGTGTCATTTCCTGGCCCAGGATCTGCCCTACCCACATGAAAACGAGGCAGCTATTTTACTTCTTTAGCTAATCCATTTGAAGCTGCTTTTTTTTTTTTTTTTTAGGGAAACAAATGCTTCATTGTACGTTCCACTCCTAGGGTATGCCTAGATGTTTAAGATGTTTAATCACATGCTAGAAGGACTTAGAGGGCCAGCCACGCTTGTAGCCTACAGTAGGGAGACAATTTTTGTGAGCATCTTTATGAGGTTAAGATGAGACCGGCCGTGGGTGAAGAATTCCTGGATCCCCGCTAGTTGTCTTAGCTGTAGTGCTGTGTAACTTTGCCCTTTCAATGAGGGTGAACAGGGAAGGCCCTTTTCAATGAAGTATTTTTGAATCCTTGGAGGAGGGAGCTCCAGGGAAGAGGGGCTGAATCTATGTGTGGTTTTCGAAGGAGCAGCTTTACCTTTTCCTTTTCTGTGCAACATTCTGCAGTGCTTGGGGGGACATTTGCTGGGAACAGTCTTAAAATAGAGGCATGGAAACCAATCTGTCAGGTAGAAGTGTGCAGGCGGTGAAACCCTGGTTACCGTGACACCACACTGAGATGTCAGTTATCTTGTCCCACCAGACTGATTCCAGTTGGAGGGGTCTAGGGCTTCCTGGGAGGGGCTGTGTCACCATTGCTGCACAGCAGCCTAAAGCTTCTCATGAGGGTTTCTAGCCCATTTTGGTCCTTGACCCTGGCTGCTTTTCTGGTTCTAGGCATCTGGAAGACAACCAAGTCAGCGTCATTGAGAGAGGCGCCTTCCAGGATCTGAAGCAGCTGGAGCGATTGTAAGTAAAGCACAACCTCGTGTCCTAAAAGTGTTTTCTGAGCTCTTTTTGGTTTGGTTTTGTAAATTGGTCTTGTGGCCTTGTTAAAAGCCAGTCTCCAGAGTTTAATGAAATATTTTTTTTTTTACTATATTTAAAGGCCCTCTGAAGCAGAGACACTGAGATCCATTCAGACTCCTGTTCTAGAAAGGACGTAGGGGCCAGCAGCTGGTACTAGATCTGTTCTTTCCAGGCCTGAGTCTTTCTCAGTTCCACTCAGGCCTTAGTGTCACCTTCTCCTGAGCAGGGAGCCTGCAGTTAGCCCCGTCATGAACGCAGGCAGCAGATCCTCCCTCCTCTTCAAGTCTCTCCCTGGGACTCCTCCCTGCATCCTTGTGAGAGAGGAAGGATGGGTGAGTGGGCACAGCCTTCCCTGTGCCTGCTTCTCCGAGTGAGTGCCAGCCTGTCTCTGGAAGCCCACACGTTTCCACGAGAGAACACATTGCCACTGGTTTAAAAATAGGTTGCTGTTCTGACTTGATCAGAGGGTGGGAACAAAAGAGGTGGGGATGGAAGATGGATGGAGCCTCCATTTATTTCACTGATGAATGCTTTTGCAGAGAACTCTGGGGTCGTTTTGATGAGGGAGGCTGCTCGGATGGTTAAGTGGTAGCTTCACCTTTCCTCAGTTAATCACATCTGACGACTCATAACATCTGGATATTTGCTTTCTTCCCTCTGAGTGAGGATTGTCCCCAAGAGCACTTAGTCATGCTGGTGGCAGCTCTCATCGGTGCTTCCCCCGTGGCCCCGTTGCCCTGATATTTCAGCATCCTCCAAACTCCAGGGCTGGGTCTGCAGCATTTCGATGCTCTGCCAGCTCACCTGGAAGCACACTGCTCTGTTTACCTGTCCTGTTGCCAAGGCTCATTTATAGAGACTTGGTTGGGTAAAACGGACTGCCTGACCCCAACTTACTCATTTTGTGGTGTGCCATCTTTTTTCTATGACATCATTCTGTCTAAGGCCACACGGCAGTAGAAAGGGCTTCATCTCATGGCAATTAGTATTACCCAGAAAATGCTTTCCTTCCTCCTCTTGTGGAAACGATCTCATTGTTTTCCTTCTGGGTTAAATCCGAGGACTTTTTTTTGTTCTTATGGGTTTGAAAACACATTTATTTCTTATAAACGAAATTCATAAAATAATGCTGTCTTTGTGTATCTTTTGACTCAAGTTTCTTAAAATTTGTTTGCCTCTTTTTTTTAGATCAAAAATATTTATTGAACCTGGTTCCTCTTTATGAAATAATCAGCACTTATACAGGGGAGTAAATACACAGTCCTGTGTGAACAATCACCTCTCACTTAGTTTTCTGATTAGAAGGGTAAATCTTAATTTGCTAATTTTATGGTTGTTGGGAGGAAATGGGTTGGGTACTCTGGGGACATCGGGGACTCTGCCCCTGTTTCACGTGCTGTCAATCCTCTTATCTCCCCCCCACACCCCCTCAAAATACAGTGAGGTGTCATTATCCTCATTTTGCAGATGAAGAAACAAGAGCCCAGGGAGATAAAGCCAAAGACTTGTCAGGGGTGGGCAAGATTCCAGGCCACATCTGTCTGACATCAAAGCTACCGCCTTGCCTATTCCTGTGCTGCAGACACCGGATGAAGTGTGATCTTTAGCAATGGCCCTGCAAACAGCCTCTCACACACTCCTTTAACTCCAGGGAGGATCAAGGAAATATTCTGGCAAAGGTCTCTTTTCTTTGGCCTGGTGAACAAGGCCAAAATACCATACATGTCTGGGAAGCTGACTGGATTATAATTGCCGAGCAAACCTGACTGTTTCTGTGCTTTGGTATATTAAGGGGGCGATGCTTGCTGCAGTACTAAATAAACCCTCAAATCTCAGTGACTTAGCACAGTGGAAGTTTGCTTCTTATTCTTAACTCGGTGTGGCATTGCTTTTTGGGCCTCTCTCTTCCAACTGGAGACTCAGAGACCAGCTCCTTCCACTTCATCATGTTATCATCTTTAAATATTGACTTGCAAATGTACAAATGTCTCTATGGAGCCAGCAAGTGGGAAAATAGTAGAGGGCATTGAGCACGTGAGTGTTCCGTGTGGGATGAGGTAGATACCACTTCCCCTCTCACATCTTTTGAATGAGAACTCCACTGCAAACAGCAGGGGAGGCTGGGAAAGGTGGTTCTGACAGGAGTTCTGACAGGAGGCAGACACCAGTTTAGTGGGTCTCTGACCAGGCTGATTAACTGCTAACTGCAGGAGAGCTAGAGAACTTAGTGTCTGCCACTGGGCAGTCATCAATCAGTGAGAAGGTGTGTGTGTGTGTGTGTGTGTGTGTGTGTGTATGTGGGCGTGTGTGTATGAGCGCGTGTGTGTATGAGCTAGAGAAGAACTTGGGAAGTGTCTGCCTGGAGTTGTCATCAGTCAGTGAGAAGGTGTGTGTGTGTGTGTGTATGTGGGCGTGTGTGTATGAGCGCGTGTGTGTATGAGCTAGAGTAGAACTGGGGAAGTGTCTGCCTGGAGTTGTCATCAGTCAGTGAGAAGGTGTGTGTGTGTGTGTGTATGTGGGCGTGTGTGTATGAGCGCGTGTGTGTATGAGCTAGAGTAGAACTGGGGAAGTGTCTGCCTGGAGTTGTCATCAGTCAGTGAGAAGGTGTGTGTGTGTGTGTGTATGTGGGCGTGTGGGTATGAGCGCGGGGGTGTATGAGCTAGAGAAGAACTTGGGAAGTGTCTGCCTTGAGTTGTCATCAGTCAGTGAGGGGGGTATGTGTTTGTGTGTGTGTGTGCACATGTGTGTGTGGTGTATGTATGTGTGTGTTTGGTGTGATGTGCATGTGTAGTGTATGTATGTGTGTGTGATGTGTGTATGTGCATGTGTGTGGCATGTATATGTGTGTGGTATGTGTATGTGTATGCATGTGTGTGGTGTGTATGTGTTGGTGTGTTGTGTGTATATATGTGTGTGGTATGTATATATATATGCATGTGCATGCATGTAGTATATATATATGTATGTGTGGAGTATGTAGTTTGTATGTATGTGTGTGGTATGTATATGTATGTTTGTGTACATGTAAGTGTAATTATGTATGGGTATGTGTATGGCATATGTATGTGTATATATGTGTGTAGTGTGTATATGTATATGGATGTGTGATTGTGTGTATGTGTCGTGTGTGGTATGTGTGTAAGTGTATATGTGTATGTATATGTGTATGGCATATGTGTGTGTAGTGTGTGTATGTATATGGATGTGTGATTGCGTGTATGTGTCATGTGTGTGGTATGTGTGTAAGTGTATATGTGTATGGCGTATGTGTGTGTAGTGTGTGTATATATGTATGTGTGGTTGTGTGTGTGGCATGTGTAGTGTGTGTATGTGTGCGTGTGTGTGTGTGATGTAAATCCTTACTGGTGTTAATCTGGTTTCTATTTGCAGTCTGCCTTCAGTCACCTGAGTGACATGAAATAAGAAAATGCAGAGTATTTACTTTTAACCACTGAAGCAGACGGCAGCTGTCCCATCTCTCGCTCTTTCCAGGACTGCCTTACCTGTGTCTTTCTGTTAGGTAGTAAGCTATTTTTATTGGCTATGTTCTAAAGTACAGTCTAAAAACTACATGGATTTTGATGATTTCCATTCTGGGTGTTTTATTCTTGGTTTATTCTCTTGGTGCTTACTGGGACAGGGGAGGGAAGCCTGTCTTACAGATCTTAACCTGGAATTTTTCATTCCGCAATGAAATGACCCCTGCTCCAGATTGAGTTAGGTGCCTCTCCATGTTAGATTATTTTCTGTTGCAGTAATAAAACGCCCAAAACTGGGCACTTTGTAGAGAAAAGTTTATTTAATTCATAGTTTTGGAGACTGATAATCCAAAATTGGGTGACCCTATCAAGTGAACCTCTGGTTACAGGCCCCTAGTTATGTTGCATCATAGTGAATGACAGAGAGAGAGAGAGAGCCAGAGAGTAGGGGATTACAGGCTTGCTCTTTTTATTTTTGAAGAACTTGTTCTCAAGAAATCAGCTCACTCACTCTTCCAGGTCAGTACCAATTCCTTATGAGGGCTATTCCCCCATCAAACAATCACCTCCCACTTGGCCTCACCTCTTCAAGTAATACTGCCATATCAAGAATGAAGCTCTCAGCATATCCCAACCGCACACCTTCCTCTCATAATAACAGGGAGCTATCCCTATCACAAAACTTTGGACAGCAGGATTTAATTTATGATTTTCCAGGTTCCTTCTCCTCAGAACAACCTGTTGGGATCAGGAATCATTTATCCGTTTGGCTCGTAGTCTCAAAACCTCTTCCTTTTGGGAAGAGATTCCTTGTTCCAGTAATGATTAGTGCTAGAGAAAGATGCTAAATCTTGACAACAGAAACTCTTTTACCTCTAGTGTTCCTGAGACAATTGGTGGTTAAGTTCATTCATTCATTCCTCTATTCAACAAATATTTCTTGAGCACCTAATGTGTTCCATATAGTATTCCAGGCACTAGAAAAACAACAGTGGACAGAGAAGACAATACTTCCCATTCTTAAGGCACTTGTATTGTAGGGCATATAATATAGAGATGAAAAAAATTAAATTTTTATTTTATGCTAGTAATTCTGAGTTGGAACTAAGTTTTCCCCCTAGAGAACACTTGGCCTTGTCTGGAAGCATTTTTTAGTTTTACAGCCAGGGGATGCTATCTAGTGGGAAGAGGTCAGGAATCTCTCACATCCCTACAATGCTCAGGATATCCCACAAGAAAAAGCAAAACAAAACAAAATTCTGTAGCTCCAAATCTCACTAATGCCAAAGCCGAGGAACTCCCTATTATGTGACAGGTATCATGTTAGACACTTTATATAGGCCACACCATTTATTCATACAAGTACTCTGATGCTCAAATTATCATGACCTTGGTGTGGTAAAACATCAAATTCAGAGCATTGCCTGTGAAACATTGCTGCTAAATGTGTTTATGCTAAAT